AAATACTAAGGGGCTACCTCTACTAGTAGATTAGGCTATTATAATAGTAAGAGGAAAGTATAAAAAAGTTTAGAAGTAGTATTAGCTAATATATAACTAAGCCTAAAATAAAGTAGTAAAAAGGAGAGGCTAAGCTAAAGTAAAGTAAGAAAAAAAAGGTTTAAGATATTATACTTCTATCTTTAAAGAAAGTAAAAGTAACCTTTAAATAGTATTATAATAGTAATATTATATTAGTTAGATATATAACTATATTTCTTATTATAAGAATTTAAAAATAAGAAAATAAAAAAATCTATACTAAGAGACTAGTAGTCTTACTAGCTATTATATAGCTATTTATTTTATTTATAAATTACCTAATAGTTCTTATAACTAGAGGTTTTAGTTCTTTTACTTTTTAGTAAATCCTTTAGTGCTATAAGGCTTACTAGCTACTAAGGTATAAGTATACTAACTACTAAGGCTTAGGGTCTTAGCTACTAAGGCGTAAGGTATAGACTACTATAGCTATAGTACACTTACTACTAAGGCGTAAGGTATAGACTACTATAGCTATAGCGTACTTACTACTAAGGCGTAAGGTATAGACTACTATAGCTATAGCGCACTTACTACTAAGGCATAAGGCACAGACCACTATAGCTATAGCGCACTTACTACTAAGGTATAGGGCACACTAGCTACTAAACTACGCTATAACTATATTCCTATCTATATATCCCCTATATAACCCCTCTAGCTATAACACAGCTAGAGGAGCTGTTCTTATTAACGTATAGAAATTAAACCTATAGTCTTTTTATATAGGTTAGATATATTATTATATTATAAGTAGGTTAAGGTAACTAACTTTAGTATAAAGTAAAAGCTTTAGTAATAATACACCTATATTATTATCCCCTATTTTACACTATATAGTCGCGTTAGCTAGCACCTAACTAGTTAGATTATAACACTTAGTTAGTACTCCTTATTAGCTTAAGTAAGACTAAGTCCTTAGTAATATAGTAAGTATTTATAAGTATATTACTTACTAGTTTAAATAATTAGGTAAAGCTTTTAGACTATTATAAGTAATTAGGTTAGGTATAAAAGTAGTAAGTAAATACGCTATAAATATAAAGTTAGGTTACTAATATTACTAATACTAAAAGCTACTCTTTTTTTTTTCCTTTTTCCCCCCTATTCTTTTTATATGTCTGTACGCCCTTGCTTTACCCCTTATACGCCCTAACTCCTACATGCTCTATAGTACTTAGCTTTATATACGTATTGCTCCCTTAGGCACGTAACTAGTAGGCCTGCTTAGCTAGCCTGCCTAACTGCTCTTAATAATATTATAAGTTATTAATAAAAAGTAAAGCTTTATATACTATAAGAACTAATTTTTCTAAATCATTAATAAGCTATATAGTTTATAAATAGTTATAAGACTAATAAGTATATTAAATAATATAATTACTTTATTTTAAATATTTAAATAAAATAGTAAGTTAAAAAATATAAATCTAAAGTAAGGCTACTTTATAATAGTAAAGGCTATACTTAAGTTAAAGCTAAGCTTATAACTATTATAAAGTAGGCTTATTATAAAAGTAATTTATATAGTTAAAAGTAGTTTATTATTTTTAAATAGTATTATACTATACTTTATAACTAAATACTACTTTATTTCTAAATTATAAAGTAATATTATATTAAAAACAGTATTATATAATACTATTTTATATAAAGCTACTTTATTTTTTATAATATAGTTATTATAAATATATATATTAAACTATTAATTATAAAATAGTAAAAATAGAAATAGTTAACTAATTAGTTATTATATATATAACTATAGTAAAATCCTATTAGAATAAGGAAATCCTTTTATTTCTTAGTTTAGAAATCCTAGGCTAATCCTAGTGATATTATTAGTAATATTACTATTAAAGTAGGCCGATTTTACTGCCTATTCCCTGTCGATTTACTGTAGGGCAACTGTGCATTTGACGGTGAATTCACGTTTACTTTTGCTACATTTGACAGGAATATCCCCCCCCCGAACTGTGCACCCGTATGCAGGTAGACTCCGAAGGCCCGGTCCCGCGTAGGATATTAGAGGCGGGTGGACGGCGTTGGGTGTCGTCCGTCCGATGTTAGTGTCGCCAATCTGGTGCCCTGAGTGGCCGGACAGTGGTTTTAGTGTACCCCAGTGGGCTGCTCGGCGCGAGCCCCTGGGCCTGAAACAATCGGACTGCACCGACTGGATCGCAATTCAAGGAACAAGGGGACTTGATTTGGGAAGAGCACGTTTCTGCAAGTGACGGCAATGACAGCGGAGCTTGGACGTTCCACGTAGACTATTTCGTTTCTTGTTGTACTTGTTCCCTCGGGCTGAGTATACTTCTACACTCTTGCCTCGTTGTCGCCTCTCGGACGACTTCTTTACCCTTTGTCTTGTATTTTTGGTCCCTCTCTCTTTTCCTCATCTACAGCCTTTTGCTTGCGGATACTGTCGTGGTAGCTGTACTTTTTCCTCCTTCTCCAACATCTCTTATCATCCCACCCCACGTTCATTGTCAAGATCTATTCTTATACCACAACTATTACCCCCGTGCCTCACATCTGTGGTTCTCCATCTGGACCTTCCTCGCGGACCGACCTCTCTTCTCTCTCTTAATAAATCACTCGATACCCCCAGCGCAAGCCCGCAACCATGGCGGCAGCAGTGGCGGCGCCGGCCTCGTCGGCAGTCGACCCCTCGACGCGCAAACGCGTCCTCAGAGTCATCGCCATCTCCCTCCTCCTTGACCTGGTACAGTCTGACCTCTCCGCCACCCGCCCAGCGCCTCACGACTTCAACACTGACAATGCTCCCTGCCAGATATCCTTCACCTTCATCCTCCCCCTGTTCCCGAAGCTCCTCGAGTTCTACCGCGATCGCGAAGTCGACCCCGCCATTGCCGATGCGACCGGTCCCGCGACCCTCCTGCAGTCCGTCCTCTCGGGCCTGAACCGCTACAAGGCCGCCTTCGCCCGCCCCATTGACTCGCGCTACGACATCGTCCTCCTCGGCGGCGCCCTCGGCTCTCTCTTCAGCCTGCTGCAGGCCGTCGCCTCCCCGCTTATCGGCCACCTCTCGGACCGCCACGGCCGCCGCACTGCCCTGCTGGCCTCGATGTGTGGCAACATTCTCTCCGTGCTCCTGTGGGTAGTTGCCGTCGACTTCCGCACCTTTGTCGCCTCGCGCGTTGTCGGCGGCCTGTCCGAGGGCAACGTCCAACTCGCGACGGCCATGGCGACCGACATCTCGGACGAGCAGAGTAGAGGGTCGACCATGGCCCTCATCGGCGCCTGCTTCTCCATCGCCTTCACCTTTGGCCCCGGCCTGGGCGCCTGGCTGAGCGCAATCACCACCGTCAAGGAGAACCCCTTCGCCACCGCTGCCGGCTTCAGCCTGTTCCTCATCCTGACCGAGACCATCTACCTGTACTTCTGCCTTCCTGAGACCCTCCCCGCGTTGACCGGCAAGGGCCGCGTCACCACCGCCGCTGCTCAGGAGGAGGAGAAGAAGAAGCCGGCAACAGCTTCGACCCCGCTGTTGCGGACCAACTCTCACTTCCTTCTCAACGCTGTCCACTTCATCTTCCTGCTCTTCTTCTCCGGCATGGAGTCCTCGCTGTCCTTCATGACCTACGAGCTCTTCGCCTTCGGCTCAGCCAAAAACGGCCGCCTCCTCGGCTTCGTCGGCCTCGTCGCCTCGATCCTACAGGGCGGCGTCACACGCCGCCTCCCGCCCCTGCTCTCCGTGCGCGTCGGCGTCGTGGCGTGCCTAATGTCCTTCGTGCTTCTGGGCCGCATCACAACCACCTCGGGCCTGTACGCCGCGGCGACGTGCCTGGCCATCACCTCGGCGACCGTCGTCACGGGCCTGAACGCACTCAGCAGCTTCGAGGCCGCCGAGGGCGAGCGCGGCGGCAAGCTCGGCATCCTCCGAAGCTGGGGCCAGCTCGGCCGCGGACTGGGGCCTATCCTCTTCACCAGCGTCTACTGGTGGGCCGGCCGAGAGGTCGCCTACACTATGGGCGCCACGGGTATGGGTGTCGTGGCCGCCGTAGTGTTCGCCGGCCTGAAGTCGCCGCCCGCTTCGTTAAAGAAGAAGGTTCCCGCCGAGAAGAAGGTGGCGTAAAAGAGGTGTGTGGCTTGTATAAAGGGAGGGTTTGGTTGTAAAAACAATGTTGGGGGGGGGGGGGGGGGGGTGGTTCCTTGTGTATCGATAATTCCATATACTGTACATGTACTTGGTGGAAGGAACGCATATATTCAGGAGTACGGTGCAGGATGATGAATTTTACTCCTGGCGTTTTGCATGACATTGCTGTTTACATTGACTCGAGATGTGCCATGTGTGACCGCCATCCAGCGCCTGTCTCGACATGTCCTCGACCATAACCATAGACCTTTACTTGACTTCCATGGTCCACCGGTCAGTATCTTGTGTTGGTTCTCTCTAGCCAAGGCATAACAATGCAAGTGTGTATTTCCATTCTCCTGCCCTGAACGCGATAGGAGGTTGGCGGGGTGGAACTGAGCCTCTGAGTATAACTGGTACTCTAATGGCAGAGCATCCCATGCATGGACATGCTGGTTTGCAGCTACGCAGCTTCGGAAACCAGAGATTACTCTGCCTTCTCTCAACCACGTCGACAGTACTTGCCTGGCTTGGCCTGACAAAAGGCGTATCTAAACATCCTTTATGTCTTGTTGACGGAGTTTGTCTAGGTCCAAGCTTGCAACGCTTGTTCCTAGCTGGTTGGAGAGCTGATACACGTAGGAGTGGTGGTAGGAGGGATGGTTATAGGCCAGACGAACCAGACACACCGCCCGCATCATACTCACCTGCTCCTGCCCGCCCAACCTCACATCATCCATTCCGTCTTAACGCAGTCTTCCCGTCCCTACCATCCAACAAACAAAGCCAGAGGATCACATGGTCGAGCGGTTCAGCAGCCGGCGTGGAGCAATAGTAGCTTATTGGCCTCCTATTCTGGGTTCAGCCAAAGGTTGCGGGTGCAAGTCCCGTCGTCGGTATCCTTTTTTTCCTTCCTTCTTCCTTTCCTTTATTTTCTTCTTCTTCTTTTCACCCCCTTACTTTTGTTTTCTTGGCCATCTTGTTTCTCATTCTTGTTTCGAGAACAAAAAAGCCCTTCAACATGACCGTCCTTGGGGCTCTGAGGCAGACTGCTTTCTTATTGCTCTTGGTCCAACAGGGCAGGAGTGAAACAGAAGGAGGGATAGGCAAACGGCAAGCGAGATGCAGGTACCCGAGCACCTGCCTTGGCTTAGTTTGAAATGCTACAGCAAATTGTGCCAGCTTCTGGGTTTCTTCCCTAGTACGGTTGTTCCACGTCGTTTTTTCCACCTGTGAAAATTTGTTTGCCAGAAGGTGGCACCAGCAAATCCTCAACGGCGGCGACGAGCCTCTTGCTGGTCATATGCTTCACCCGCCATCACAGTTCAACCCCCAAGGGTGTTTTGCAAGAAGCCAAGTAGTACATTGACGGTCACAAGACTGGGAAATATTGATGGATTATCTGCTGACATCAATGAGTCTAGTTTACGAAGGAATGCTCGGGAGGCGAAAGATATGTCCCGTTTGCAGTACCCTGCCCCCGAGCGAAAGCTATCAAAACGACCAGCTATCTAGGGTTCTTGCTTCTGGCTTAGGGCTAGGCATCCGTGCCCATCGTAGCCAGCCGTTGATTTCCTTTTCAGTCTAAATGTCTTCCTCGACCTCACAGCACCACTTCATCCAATTGGGCAATGATGAGGTGTTTGGTACTATTCCTCCAGCTCTTGTCTATGGGAAAAGCTGTAGACAGCGAGTTCGTCCTGTCCTTTTGTTTTGATCAACTCTCGCAGTATTCTGGTTTCTTGGCGCTATCCAACTTCGAAATGGATATCTTGAAGAGCAACCCCTATGTGTTCTTCCGCTGGCCTCTGTGTATTCCAGTATGGCCAACCGTTGAGCAACTACGATTCATACCAACCTGTAAACGAAGGCTGCGTCGCGTTCCAAACTCTGTGGCCGCCGCAACTCTCTTCCTCGGATCGTGTTCTGTACGGGGTTGTGTCCCGCACCACATCTTTGCCAAGCAGCAGACAATGCAAATGTTGTCGACAGAGGGGCTACCTCTTGCCATGAAAGTTTCTAGTTGAGTGGACGGGGCATATCTCGACTTCGGCCCATAGATCAACTCCCCCACTCCCTACTGGGTTTCTTTGTTTTGCATCTTGTGCTCACAACGAGAGTCAGGGAGGAAGAGAAGAGAATCTTCTGAGCTGACATTGGAACTTAGATATTAGACAGAGGGTCGACGAAGGAATGGGGATCAAAAGCACAACGAGTGCAGTCACAGAGCTAGAGGGGGCCCTTCACCCCGTGTCAGTTCCTCCGCAACACGACATCTTGTAACGTTCAGGTATCGCTGCAATTTGATACAACCAGCATCCCGTTACCCGACGTAATGAAAATAACTGCAAGCCAATGAGAGACCAGCACCGAACTCTATGTTATAAGATAAAGTTGCTCAGGCTCGGGCGTTTTGGGTTGTCCATTGTATATCTCCTGACCAAACTCCCACGGACATTGAACCCTTCGTCGAACATATACGGCGGCAATATCACATGATGGCTTCGCCAAACAGAAAGACACAACGCTTGCTTCGATATGAACTGCGGCCTCGCTCTGCTGTCAGCTGTACTCCTTTCTGGTATACATACCACTTGAGCCAAGTTTCATGGCCCAAGAGGGGGGGGGGGGGCATCGAGAGAGTACGCGTCAACCAAAAGCATCAGCGGGTAATCCAGATGGGAAGCTGAGCTGCCCACTGGATCACGGCTGGTCCGAGGCTCCCAAGATCATATTACATCTGGCTATGGATGGATGGGCGGATCAACCTTCAAGTCTGGGCAGGCCCGAGCGAGGTACGCAGGCACTCGGTGAGGCGAGCTTTCCACAGCACCGCCGCGAAGGCCATGGGAACCTCCGATCTAGAATGTTCAACTAAACAAAGATCACGGAAACCATGTTCAGAACATGACTGGCCCTGGGAAGCAAACAAACCCGACAACACGGCCTTCCCTCATAATCACTAACCACACATCAAGCTCGCCTCTGTTGGGTTTTCTGGGCGTGCCGTATGCATGAACCAAGCGACTGCCCACCCACATCACGCCAGCAGGCTGAATGACGGGTGCTGCTGGCGTGCGGAATGGTTGGCTTTGGGCTCTGGACCGGAGCTTGGCCTCCTTGTCAGCTCTCGAGAAGCCCTTGCGTAGTGGCACAAAGTGTATTATCACGGTGCTCTCGCAGGTCAAGCAGTCCGGGCCGAAGGTCCCGAGATTTTCGCGCCGATTGATGATGTACTGACTGGCCTATGGAAGCTGGCGTCTCCCCGGCATAATTGTTCAACCGCGTGTGTACTTGACGTAACCGACTTTTCAGGCAGTAATCTCGATGAGGAAGTATGTCATCAACCGGGTTCGTCCGAAGTCGAGACACATACCTACTCTGTACACAACACACACTCTCTCTCTCTCACACACACACACACAGAGTGATAGTGTGTGTGTATGAGCTGGCGGCACCCCACCTTTCGACCCCTCCACAGACAGCATTCTCGGCAGGCTTTCGTTTCGGAGTTGAGCCGTTGTGGACAGAAGGGACTTTTTCTCATCAGGCCTGATGTTAATGTGCCAACGTACGTGGGGACGCTCTCTCCCTTTTTTTTTTTTTCTTTTCTTTCTTAGCAGTGCTGCATTCGTGCCAGCTTGGCCGAGGTCGCATGTCTCCGCAAGCGCTGAATATGGAAAGGACGCCATGTGCCACCCCTGGTCCGTTCTGAGTGGTCGTCTGAATGTGACGCCAGAGCACCGTGGTGAGAGAACCTGCATATGGGGCGCATGCGTGGTTTACAACCTTGTGAGCTGCTCGTCGTTCGCTGCGGGGGGGGGGATATGACTTGGGCCAAGCTGACAGACAGCAAGCGCGGACCAGTGACATCCTTGGCAATTAAATCTGCAAACTTGCCGTTCAATAGCCTGTCCTGGGGGGGGGGGGGACGAGTTGAAGGGCCTCGAGAACGAGGGCAGACCCTACACATGCTCTGTTGTTGGGTGCGGCGTTGCAGGGCAACCTGGGGTTATCCATCGTGCCCATATCGCTCGCAAAGGCCTCGTCCACGTGCCCGGTCGATCTGGAGGCCCTCAATCCGGACCAGTGGGCGGCCGAAAGGTAAGATCGAACCATGTCAATCACTTGCACTAGACCCAGGCCGCAAGAGGCGTCGTCGTCGTCGTCGTTGTCGGCAGCGTATGCCGCAGGTCATTTTCGATATAGGTGCCAGAGAGGGCCCCAAGCTGACGATTGCGCCCAGTCATCTCGATCAGCGTGTCGTACGAGTCGCGTCCTACCCCCCCTATGTGCAGCGCCGCAGCACAGCGTCGCTGCCAGAGTGTAGCCCCAGTGCAATTGGTGACATGCAGCATTAGTGCTTCGTTTGGGTTGTCTCGAGGCGGCGAGTCCAAGAACAGCCAAGCGGCATTGGACCCATTCACACACCATTCCATGTATGCCGCCGCCCAGCACCAGGATCCCCAATGGGCCGTTGTAGCGTTGCGTCGGGATTCATCCCAGATTCGGCTTGGTGTTTGTCATCTCTCCTGGACCGTTGATCTCTTCTTTTGGGCCTCGAGGCTGAGGCGATGCCGTCCAACTACTTTCGATGGTGTCCAGCGGCAGTTAGCGGCGGCGACGGCGGCGGCGGGAGGGGGGTTTCGGCGATCGGTGTTGGCCGCCTGGCAAGTTGGATTGGGATCCGTTCAACGATTACTGCAAAAAGGTAGAGCGTGATCATCGTGGACGAGTGGCCAAGTGGTAACGGCGGCGTGAACTCGGGCATATACTCGCTACTTACACTACGGCACCCCGCGTGCCACCCATTTGGGTTCGGTCTTTTTGTATTTAGTGTACACTAGATGTGCGCGCTGCTCCATGTTACCGGATGGGGAAGCTGCGAAGGAAGGGGCTGTAGATTACGTGGGAAGAAGCTGGACAGATTGCGGGAGCCCGGTTGGGTCGCCTTTGCCCGGGAGAGCTGCATACGCGCCACCAACGGCGCAGCTTTTTTTCGCCCGGCTTTTTCGGGACAATGGTCTTTCGAAAAAAAAGCCAGATGATGCTCGCTTCCTACTATGTAATCCTTCATTGATCCCCCAAGTAGGCCAGCCGAGCTAGGATCTGTAGTGCTGGCGGGCCTATCTGTAAACGCCCAACCTCTACAAGGTGGTGCACGCGGCCAAAAAAAAAAAAGGCGCCTGTGGCGCCGGCCCTACTAGTAGAAAAGTAGGGTCCCCACGTGCGAAGAATCTTAGTTGACACAGTAGAAGGACTCCCGGTAAACTTCCTTCCTTCCACCGTAATTGTCGGTCAACTTGCCGCACCAGCCAAAACCATCATCACCACCCAGCCTGGCGAGTCTATCATCGTTTCCGCGGAAGGACGCAAGAGAAAACCGGCAAGTCGGCATGAAGACACGGCTGGCAGAGCGACGGGCCGTCATCCATATCCTCGGGTTGGGCTGGTGTATGAGATGGGAGCAAACTTTCTCCTTTGTGCAAAACAAAAAAGTACAGGGTGATGCCGCAACGATCGGTATCATCTACCCTGATGGGCGTGGTACCGTCGTATTTCACCCTGATTCTCCTCGCCGGCCAAGAGGAACTCTCGGCTGAGGAAAAGTCGCACCAGACCGTCAGGCAAAAGGGTCCAATCCGCAAGGAGCCAAGATAGATTATAGGCAGGGGGAGCAGGTTCAGGGATGTTTCCCGAGGTCCACTTCCCGACTCGACCATGGGACAGAATTGGAAACTGTTCCATTCAAGTTTCAAGAACCAGCGACGCGTCTTCTAGGTATCCGTAGTTCATTCCCATAACGAAATAGTAATTAGCCGACGGATCGCTGAACGACATCGGCAAGCTTCCATCATCCGGTCGCGCCGTCCTTGGACGCCGACATTTACCGCCAGCAAGGTGGCCAGGTCTCACCCGCTGGGCCCATCCAAAAAGCCGAACCAGCAAACAGCCTTGCAGATGCGACCCGACGTAGGCGTGGGATGGTCTGCTGCAGGCTGCACAGGCTGCAGATATGACGGCACGGCAGCATTTTGCTGCGGCAACAATACATGGCAACGTCGATGGTGACTTCACACGGCCATCTCTGCAGCTTAGCCCCTGGCAACTGGCTCAAAGGCTGCCCTTGACCGCGTCCGATATTCATTCGTCCGGCAACTATTGCCTCTTTTTGACCTCATCCAAGTGAGTGCTCGTCTGCTGGCTCACAACGTTTGTTCGGATCGATATCAATCATGGTCAAGGGAGTTACGGTGCTGAGCTGCAGGACAACCGAGCGAGACGGGCAGACTCGGCGATGATGATCTGATCGCAGCGTGTAGTTTTTGGTGACTCATTGGCAGCTTGACGGTGCAGCTGCCAGTGTCAGTTGGCTTGAATCATACATTGTACAAGCTTCACGGACCCGGGATCAGGGTTGAGCAAGTGTGGATCATGTAGAAATTGGGGGCCTGGCCTCACCCCCTCCAGGAGAGGATGGAGTCCGAACAACGCAATGTACGATATGTAGTGTCCGGCGGCCGCTACCGGGACATTGGAGGAACAATTGTCCGCACTTCTAGAACACTGGCGATTCGCGGTGTGGAGCGCGTGGCCAAGCCAGCCACCGGCGCAGATCGGAATCCGTGCCACGCCGCCGATATCCAAGATGAGCCGTTGGGTATTGGCCACCTATTGACTGAGGTTGCGGATGCTTTGGGGAAGCGCTTCGGACCTGCCTCGTCAGTTGGACAGATTATGGATGAAATTGTTTCCGCGTTCATTTACCGACGGAATCCCGTCGTCCTGTGCGTGGCCTGTGGGGAAACGGGGGAGCACGGCGGATGTGTTCGGTCCAATGACCGGCGGTATTGAATTGCCCGGGAGTATCCAGTAGCTTTCGATGATGAGGGGGGTATGGTAAGCACTGTGCGGGGTAGTCTTCCAGCAAAGACATCAATATCTGAAGAGCACGGCATCGCAACATGAAGGCACCTGAGAGGGCGCTTCAACTTGGCACGGGCGATTATTGCAACCCCGTGTCGCGGCCTAGGTTCAAGACCGCATGATCGCGACGTGTACAGTGTGCGCTGGCGGCTGCCGAAAGGGTTGCCAAAAGCAAAGCATCCCTGTCAACCAGCTTGGGCCGGTGGTAGGTAGGTAGTTGGTTGTTAATTATGAGACTTGGAAACTTGATGGTGAAGCCGGAAACTCGGTACCTGGTGAGCGTGTAGCAAGTCGGACTAAGGCGGGCGGCCCCTAGTGATAGAAAAAATCAGCCACGTTAAGAAGATGAAGGGCGGCCATCCAAGACGTTAACCGACCAAATCGCATCAACAGAAGCGGGTCGCTACCTTAGCTGACGTGACTACTGGCTCAGAAACTGTGAGTAGCCGCTGGGGCTAGATGCGTCCAAGGAGAAAGCGACACAGGGTCCAGCTGCCGACACGATGCTTCTTCCTAGCTGGGGCTTCGCAGCCGTGGTACGCACGTACTTGGCCGCCTCGAACACGACAAGTGAGTGAGTGTCGTTGCGATCTGCGACAGTCAGGAAAAGGGGGTTTGTCTGGAAGCTCGAAGGAGTTAGTGGTGCAAGATTGCCATCCGTAGTGGGATGTGCAAAGAGCAGATCCGTGGCCCACTTCGTACATCCAGGTACAATCCAGTGTAGGAGAAGGGCCGTGGCCCTGCCCTTGAGATTCGGGTTTGCTCTTTGAGATGGAGATAGGAGTGTAGGGATATAAATGTGGAGTTGGTGAAGACGGTTGGCGGCTCGATGGCTGGAAGTGTGCGACATCAATCAAGGCAGAACAATATATAGAGTAAGATGAGATAATTGAAATTCCGTAGTCAAAAGGACAAACCTAAATTCGGAGAGCTCTGTCGAGGGAGCAATGATTCGGCCGAGCTCTTGGGCGTGATTGATCAAAGTAAGCTTTAACCTCCTGCAATTTGTCGTGGAGAAAAGCAACCGGTCATTAGAGGAGTCTGATGGTGTGGCCGATGAGTATGTGTCAATGACGGAGAGAGATTGTTCTATGTGTTTGTCATGTAGAGGGAAATGTATTCTGTGCCATGTCTGTGAGAGTATCAACGACGTATTGCACTGCACCCCAACCTGCGGGTGCCTGCCTTATTGTCTCATCACATGGTGTGTCGCCTATAGAGGGGGGACAAGATGTGTTGTGTTTCGCCAGAAATGTATATGTAAAATTGAGCAAGATAAAGACTGGGTCACTACCCATCGCGAGCGTAGCAGACTTTGTAAGATATAGTCTTGGTTATTGGATGGCGCTGGGCCTCGCTCTGCGATACCTCGTGTGCCAAGTTCATAGTGCTGCTGGGAGGGCAAGCAAGTTGTCGGGAAAGTGGAAGGGACGATGAAGGTTGGGTACGTATCTTGCCTCCTGATATCTGCAATGGTAATAGGAATCGTGGAAAGGGCAAGGTACATGGATGTATCTTCTTAGGTACTTAGCGTGGGTGGATTGAGGTTTAAGTGGTTGACAGGGATGATCTCCACGCACTGGTCCACGAACGAACGGCCCGGTCGTTATTTCGGGCTGCCAATATTTTCCCTTCCTCCTTTTGTTTGACTTGAAACTGCATTAACGAGTGCTATACGCTAAAGAGAATACTGTATCATCGAAGACGTACTATAGAGCGCAGGGGGGGGGGGATGTCAAAATGGCTTTTGATCAGATATAGTGTATCTATCTGAAGGTTTCCCAGGACGGGGAAGTGAAAGAAATAAAAGATAAATAAGAAGGGGAGAAAAGTCTGAGACGAGCCAAGGAGGAGGAGGAAAGGGACGACGGGGAATGAAAGTTACAGATGGAAATGCCCGGGAAGGACAACGGCGCAGGCGGCAACTCAAGACACACAGAGGTACCGACGCAGTGAAGTCGAAACAGCGCTAGTGCAGAGATGGAGATTTCGATGGGGGGGGGGATCTTGGGGGTACGTATCTGTACACTGCTGGCCTATTCTTTTCATCAGGCAAAGGTCGGGATTTTTCATTCTGGAGCGCGTCTGTCTCTGTCATGACATTATTCTCCACGTCTAGGGCGCCTTGAAGCTTGGCTTGGCGACAGGAGGATGAACCGATGACGGCAATCGGCACCGGGATATCCGTATAGGTGCTGTATATATACATGATCCGTGTATGAATAGCTGTGTAAGTACGGATAGGTAGGTACACAGCAATGGAGATAGAGATAGGGCTGGGGCAGCTGCTCAGGTGAGGCAATGCCTACCTACCTCTCTGTTCATCTCCAATTTGCAATTGCTAATCTCATTCTCGACCTTCTCCGACGCGGGGTGGGTCGCTCGTCGATATTAAACTCGACCCCGGTCAAAAAATAAAAAAGCACATGTGTCCACTCGCAAGAAGTTTGCTCAAGGATCGTGGAGCCATCTGAGATTATGTTGGACTGACCGCGTCTCTGTCCACGCGCGATATCAAATTCTAAATCTCCAAGACGGCGTGCGACAGGCGACGATGGGCACCTTTCACGAGGGGCCGTCCACAAGCTCCCTCGGCTTTCCCCCCTTGGCGACACGCCCCCGCGTCTCGACTGTTCCCTTCCACTCCACCGAGGTACATATTCTGAGGTGTAATGTATCCGTGCCATACCGCACGTAACTACAGTACCTTGGTTGCATGGAGCTTCCACGCAGTCGCGCCCTTGTTGCAAGATACGGCGGGCCAACAGCCTTGATGTCATGGGCGTCGACGTTGTATGGTTGGGTAAGCAGGGCCAAATGCTTACATAGTATACGGGCGAGATGGTAGGCATTGGTGCTACCTGGCTGGGATAGCACATGACCAAAATGACAGAGACGGGCGGGCTGCGACTGGGATTCGCGGGCGTGGCGGCGTCCAGCTCCGGTACGTGCCTTTGCAGTGCAGTGTCTCGTCTCATGCCGTCTCGCCTTGCCCGTGTTACGACAGTCTCCCTCACGCGATGTTGGGCGTCGGCGACTAATCGCCGGGCACTACTTGCGGGGACTCCAGGACACGGAGGGAAAGGGAAACAAAGCGACAGACGATAGGAAGCCTAAAGCAGATGCGACTGTACGGATAGTGTTGAAGGAACCATCCGTCTCCGTACGGATACTTAGCCCGTACGAATGGATGGATACCTTGCCGACCACGACTGGCTGCACTGCACCTTCCTCGACTTCGGCCACCCCCACCCACCCAGCGCTGGAGTTCACGTTCAATGTCCAATGTCGGGCGTCAAGCGTCGTCCCTGCCCCAGCCTCGTCCCGGATACTCAGTTCATCGATGTCCCAGTGGTAATCGTATGAGTTGCAGCTGCAGTTTCCAATTCAAGTTCGAGTGAGCCGTCTCCCAAGCCCCAGGTCTCTCTTTCTCACACGTAACAGCCTTGAACATAATTGACGACAAGTTCGTTCTCTTCCGGTGTTGTTGTTGCGTCTTGCTTGTGCACCTAGGTCGGAGATTAGTACACTGCGCAGGTTATCTCAGAGTGTAAGGTACCTACCTAACCTACCTACCTACCCGTTTGGCACACGTTAAAAGGGATGGTGCCATGCTGAAGTAAGGTATCTAGATGTACACATTCATATTAAACGATGCGAACTACAGTCAGTGTATGTACTATACGTAGGCGGATGGGACACATGTATGCGTACACGCCGACGTGGGCATGGGCGTGGGTGGACGTGGATGCGGACGGGCATGGGCTTGAGCCTGGGTCCACGGGTGTGCTTGCTTGGCATTGCATGTCTGCCCCAGCGTCCTTTCCTTCCCACGGTGCTAGTGTAGGTATCCGTAGTGCTCGCTCGCTCTTCACCTTCACTCGACCTTCCCGGTCTGCACCTTCCTTACCTCCCTCTCTTGCCCCCTCCCTACCTTCCCTTTCTCCTGCTACCCCCTACTGAGGTACCTGAGGCACCTTGCCTTGGGTACGGATACCTTTATCTCACATTGGCATCCTCCTCCCCCCCTCCCCTCCACTTCTTTTCCTTGGCTGGGCACTTTGCTACCAAACTCCCCCAATTAGTTCAGTCCCAGTAGGTGTGCAGTGTATTTGTAGTGTACCTGTAGGCACTCAGCTCAAAGCTACCTAGTTGCCTAGATACCTAATCTCCATCTACAGTGGTTGTCCCCCCCCACGTCGTAACTGTATGTACACTAGTGTGCTGATTGGCCTTGTCGAAGTTTGGCTGGCAGCCGCTGCCACGGTCTTCCCTCTCACGTCCGTGTTCGCCCACTCTTTTTTTCGGGCGGTTCCTATCTCCGCCTCTTTTTATTTTTTTGTTTTTTTATTCCTGCCACACCGTGACCGGTTGGTTGGTTGCACTGCTACCTAGCAAACAACGCCCAAGACAAGTCATCATCATCACTCTCTTTGTGGCTTCTTCCCTGCCCTGCCCTGATCGGTGCTTCTCTTGCCATGGTCTGAAGTCGACTCCAAGATTAAGTTACCGCCTCCCTCTAGCGAAGTTTCGCACTGCAGACTCAAGCCAACATCACTCAGCCCACCTGGCTCCAACGTCGTAAGACCTAGCCGATCTGCGTATACATCCATCCGATTCGACCCGCCAGCTCCCCCGTCGTCTCGTTTTCCACACTCTCGAGCCAACCCGGCTTCGTTTCCACCATTCAAAACGCACACGTCGGCACACGCCACTTCCCATCAATTTACCCTTTCGACGGCTGCAAATAGCCCTTTCTTCGCGCTTTCAACTCCGAAGCCCTTTCTCGTCTTTCCCGCCCGCGACGATTAAAAAAAATTTAAACCCAAAAAAAAAAAAAAAAAAAAAAACCTCACCGTTGGCCGTTGACTTGAGCCTGCGTAACGGTTTTTGAAGAAAAAGAATCACCCCCGTTCTTCTTTTCCCCT